TCATTGTGATGTTTTTATGCTTGCATAAAGCATGCTTTGATCATAATAAATAAAGAATGCTTCAAACTTTTGCATGTGATTCTTGCCAGTGTCCATGCTACTCTTTTCTGGATCTTACAGTTTTACCAACTTATTGGGATTCCCCCTACAAAATCAACACTTGGTTTATCAACAAATATCAAGAGATTATATACATACCTCTTTTAGACATAAGAAATATAGATATTATTTATTTGAAACAGATTTTGACATTGTAAAATGATTGGGTAGAAATAGTTTGTGTAGGTTTGCTCTGCTGCAGAAGGACTTTTACATTAAAGGACAACCATGACATTAAAATACAGACAACCTGTAATTAGTAAGATGGTATCAACTGTCTTAAGACACAGACACCAAGAGCAGATGTTCTACTGTGGTTCTGTTTCCTGTTGACTTGGGGTATGAACAGTTGGTGCGGCTAGGCAGTGTGAGAGGCCACAACTCTTGTAGCAGTCTGGGGTTCAGCCAGTCATCTGCAGACAGTATCAGTATAAAAAGCTGTTCGGCACACCTTTGTAAAGATGACTGTCGTATTTAAAGATGACAAGTGGTGTTTGCCATCATTTTTCAAGAGTACTGACAATTTTTCACTGTTTCTTGTTCTAGCAACCCAGTAGTTTACAATTTTAGGAAATGTTCAGGGTAAAGTAATATATAAGTTATAAACATAAAAAATTAACTTCTCTATGGTGGTTTGAATGCAAATGGCCTCTGTAGGCTCATATATTTGAATGTTTGGGAAGGAAGAAGTGTGTCACTGAGGGCTGGTTTTGAAAGTGCATGGCATTTCCTGTAAGTTCATTCCCTTCCTCCTTCCCATTTGTAAGTTAGATGTAATCTCTTCACTATTCTAGCACCATGCCTGCCTATATGCTCATGCTTCCCACTGTGATGGTCATGGACTCTACTACCATCTGGGACCATGAGCACCAAATTACTTTTATAGGTTTCTTTGGTCATGGTGTTTTGTCATGGGAATAGAAATGTAATTGAAGACAGCCCAACCCTGAGATTCAGGAGTTACAATTCCCCGTGCTCCACACTCCACAAGTGACAGTGAAGCACAGGCCTTTTGTCCTAGGGGCTCCTAGGCTAGTGGGAGAAGAGTTGGAGTTCCTTGCTTAAGTCCTCTAACTAGAGTTGATGTTGCCCCTGGGAGAACATCTGAACCATCCACCCCATTTCTATTTTCCTTTACCTACAAGCGCTAGTCTACACATGCCGTAAGCAACGGGTAGCTCTTTTCAGCTTGGCAAATAACATCTGGGAGCAGGAAGGAGATTCCCCACAATGCAATGCAGTCTGAGCATCCTGGGTGCTAGTAACCTAAGAAGTAGGGGGCATTCGATTTCCTGATATAGGTCTGTCCCACTCTAGTTCTTAGGGGCCCTCCTTTCCCTCTTCTCTGTCCCATTCTCTGTTCCACAGTCACCCTTTAAAAAATCTATTCTTTCCTGAGAGCAGCTGCTAACTCTTTGAAGATTATTCTCTGAAAGTCTTTTTTCTAATCTGTTACATGTTTTCTACTATTGAATTTAAAAAGAAGAAATACTTGAAACTTGTCATACCATTCTGTGGTATAGATATGCAGTAATGTTATGTAAAACTACATGCATCAGCAGAATACACCTGTCATGGTTGCAGAGTAGACCTGGCAATGAATGCATAAAGAGAAGGGCAGGTTGATTATGTGGGACTCTTGCCCCATAACATGGACTCCGTCCCGTCACGAAGAACAAGCCCTACTATAAGGTATACAAACTATCTGACCAGTGTCCTTCAGAAGTGCCAAGCCTAGAGTAGACAAGCAAACATCAAAGGACCTATCATAGGCTAGAGGAAACTCAACTGTGACAATGAACTGCTATATGGATGGTCGAGGGTTAGCTCCTAGACCAGAAAAATGAACACCCCTCTGGAAATGTTGGTACATAGAGTTTAGGGATTGGGAAGACAGCTTAGTTGGTAGAGTGTTTTCATGCAAGCATAGTTTGAACCCCCAGTACCTAATAAAAGGCCGAGCCCAGTGCTCTATAATACCAGTACTGAGGCAGCAGAGACAGGCTGAAGCTCACTGCAGCCAGTCTTGCCGAATTGATGAATTCTGGCATCAGTGAAAGACCCTGTCTGAAAAAGAATGGCGGAGTTAGAGAAAACCCTCGCCATCAGTCTCTGGGCTGCTCTAGGTACACAAACACACACACAAAGTCTAAGGTTTAGTCAATACCTGCCACTACAGCCACTAGACACGGGGTGTGGGATTGTAAAGTTTCACTTCTGCTCTTCCGTGAAGCTGAGTGAAATGTGTGGACCTTTCTGTCCTTTATCTGACTCTAGTTTTGCAGTTAAAAAAATGGAAAAGACACATTTGTTTAGTGTATGTAGTGGCTTAATTTGTAAGAATATATTAAAATTCCACTCAGCCTGTACCCTTCCTCGAACACACTTTTATTGTTAATTAGCCCCTTTGTGGGCAGAAGAAAGCAATGCAGGTTTTGTGCATTGTGGAATATAAGCAAGCTTACAGCGTATTCACATCTCGTCTTAAAGAACCACAGGGCCGTGGCCTCACACCTCCTACTCTCTCTTCCCTTCTTACCACCAGCACAAAACTACTAATTGAAGATAATTTTGCATTTTTCCAAACCACATGAATTACATCCTTCCATGTGTGTGTGTGCATGCTTAGCTCTTTTTCTCTGCTATATAGATTTCCACCGGAACACCTAACTCTCATCCTTTCTCCCATTGCAAACATACTGAGGATTTGGGGCTTTGAATGAATGCTGTGTATGTTTAGATGTCTTTCTGAGGTCGAAGTTAGATCTTCTGAACTCCAGGAATAGTATCCACACATTTGGACTGTTGCCTTCCATTAGGATTGTTTCTCTTTGATGTTGGATTGAAATTTTCTTGAGGGTCTAATTTCCCTGGGTGAACATTTCATTGGGATAATAAGTTAATATTGGGATAATTCAGTTAATAATAAGTATTAACTGAATAAGTTTTTCTATTAATTAAATACTGTCTACATATCTCAGATATGCTTAAGTATTTATGTAGTGTTGCCTTCTTGGGACTGTTTATCATTAGAAAGATTTATGCAGTATGGGGAACTGGTCACTGAGGTGGAAGTATAGAGCCAAACTAAAACCTTAGCTTTCGCTTGAGAATTCTCTAGTGAGTTTGGAGGCGCCATAGGCACAGCTGCTCCGCATTTACCACTGTAGCGATTGTAACTGGAGTCGCTTTCCCTGCCTTTGGCATCACAGAGGGGAGGGTAGTTCAGTGATTTGTAGAGTAGCAAAATTCTCACTTTGTACATGGTAATCAACTCGGTAGAGGCCTTTACTGTTTTTGATCATTTGCCCAGAGTGGAATTACACACATTAGGTCCCCACCATTATTTTATTCAGAATTGTTTTTACTATACAAACTGTTTCACAGCTCTCATCTATCTTGCTTGTCTGCTCAACAGCTTGTTAGATAACTAAGCAGTGCTAATTACCACATTTTACAGGTTACAGATACTAGAGAGGAACTGGGGAAGCTTGAACAACTGGCTCAAGGTCACAGGCTAGACCCCAAACCAGGACTTTGAGCCTAGTCCTATCCAGCTGCTAAAAGTTTTAGCTTTTACTATAAAGGAACATATTAGCCAACATGTTACTGTGTTGGAGTATTGTGGCATAATGCCCACTTGACATTGAACAGTGTTCTGGAGGTTTCTGGAGTTAGTCATTGGGAGCTGCTTTTATTGCTCCTTTGTTAAAAATCTCCCAGGAAAAGCTTAAGCTAAGTAGTGCAGAGAAACACAGGGAAATCTTATAAGTGAAGCATATGGTGAGGTAAAGGCAACCTAAAGCTACAGTGTCCGAGAAGACAAATGGCTTTTTGATCGCTTTAGACCTACTGATGAATTAACACCTCTCCACATATAGAGTGTGGTTGATCACTCAGATTGCACTTTTTAAGCTGCAGAGGCCGTGCACTTAGGATGCTGTCTTCACGTCAGAAATGCACTTTTGTGCTTGAAAATGATAAAAAATTACAATCGATCCTTACAACTGTTCTGTTCATTTTTATTGATCAGGTGCAAGAAAGATAAATCGTAGCCCAAATAAGATTATAGTAAATGTTAGCATCGTAGGGGACTGGAGGTTGATAGAGAGCCATTCATCATCTCAAATGGTGACCTGTCCATGGCTCCAGCCACCCCAGTCTGTTGTCTAATCACATACCTATTGATTTTATCTGCATCTCAGAAACCTGGATGTGACTGTCATTGGGCAACCCAGATTGTTAAATGCAAAGGGGTCACCGGTGTGAGGAGGCTTTCATTTTCATTTTCTTACCAACCAACAATGATTTATTAAAAAATAAACTACCCCAAGCTGTGGATGTGAAACCTGAGTGATTAGGGAGTGAAGGCGCACAATAGAGCCCTGTATTGTGTTGCATCCTTCTGCACTGCCCAGTGTTTTTCCTGCTATTTCATTGAGTCTGAAAGCTCATGGGTCATTTAGGCCGACCCCTCTACTGAGTCTGCATATACCACCATAGTGAAAACAAAATATTATGCAAAGTAAATACTGCTTTTGCATCCCTGAGTATGCGTGATTTTTGTTCTTTGAGTTTAAGAATCTTTTGATTCTGCAGCACAGTAAAACCAAGTAAGGTAGAGCTAAGGCATCCTTCAAAAGTATGTTGGCAATGTTCTCAGAAGGATCAAATAATGACGAGTTAGTAGTATGACCATCTGTCATGTAATTTATATATCATTGTCAGTACTGCTATCTGAATGGTGGCCTTCCAACTATTTAAGTACTATGCCATTTAAACCAGAAATCCCTATACTTCCAGAGTGGCTGCAATGAAGTTCCTTTTATGTTTTGAAATTTTAAGTCTTCAGAACAGTTTGTCTTCTTACATAGTGAAAATGTTGTCGACTTTGTCCACAGAGCTCAGAGTTCTACAAAGTCACCACCGAGGAGTATCAGAAAGCTGCTGAAGAGGTGGAAGCCAAGTTCAAGTAAGTTCTTCACCCCGTCCTAATCTGCCCTCCGAGATGAAAGTTCAGTTGTGTCGCTTTCTGCAGACCACTGGTACTCGGGCTGGGGGACACTTGGAAATGGTTTTGGGTGGTTGAGATGTAACCATGTTACCTGCTTTTCTGGAGCATTTGATGAAAGCTTGTTGATGCACAATCCAGTTTATGAACTAAATGGAAAATGAAAGAAATGGTAAGAGAATTTGAATTTGGAATGATAGTTGACATAGAATGCCCTTAATTATGAAGGTTCTAGTAAATTGTTACTATATTTAATGAAACCATGGAAAACATTCACTCTTATGTAGTAAAATGATGGGCAGGTCCAATTTGGATGTCCTCTTTTCTTGCATTTAAACTATTTTTATTTTCTCGCAAGTGCCTTGAACACATTTAAATCATAGACTTTACCTTGCCCTTGATTATGAAGTTGTTGTTAAATTGCTACATCTGTTAATCCTTGTGATATCTAAATGAATATTGTGTAATTGATGGATCAAAGTGCCCATGACCCACAGCCTTATTCGTTCTCTTTGCTGCCAGTTCTCACATTACATAAGAAGATATTTTACTGAGTATATAAAGGATTCTATTATATATCCCCTATTAGTAGCACATGTACAAATTAGTGAAGAAAAAAAGGTGTTGTGACAGATTTAGTATAAGATTACACTGAGCTCTGACCTCCTTCGTTGTCCATGTTTATAAGCATTTAATAAAATGATTAAACCTTAAGGTAGAATTATTAGTTTCTGCTTCAGTGCAGTTTATATGGTAATGAATATTTGTGTTACTTAAATGTTGGTTAAAATAAGATTTTTTTAAAGGTGCTTTAACATGTGTTTAAATAGATGGAAACTTTCTATCTTCCTTAGCAAGAAAAAAAGTGTGGGGGATAAAAGAGAAGTCCAACAGCGAATCACAGTTCAACCAGTCATTCAATATCTAATTTGTTTTTGAAGGCAGAGTTTTTTTTTTGTTTTGTTTTGTTTTGTTTTTCGAGACAGGGTTTCACTGTGGCTTTGGAGCCTGTCCTGGAACTAGCTCTGTAGACCAGGCTGGTCTCGAACTCACAGAGATCCGCCTTGAAGGCAGAGTTTTGTAAGTCCAGACTGGTCTCAAACTTGGTAAAATAGCCAGCCTTACATTCTTCATTCCTTTGTCTCCACCACATAAGTGCTGGGGTGGTCGGTGTGCACCCCTGTGTCTAACTGCAAATCTTACTCTTGAAGATCAGAAGACTTTAGATAAAGGGCTAGGGACACACTTTTGCTAGAGCACTTGCCTGTTGTGAACAAGGCCCTGGATTTTATCCCTGGTAACACATTAAGCCAGATCAAACCTAGGATTCATAAGATGCTGTGTCCAAAACAAAGAATTTAATTGTTATTTATCTTCGGTCCTGATAGAGTAACGTTCCAAAAACCTTTTGTCTTCATACTTTGAGAACCTTTCAGTTGGGATCCTTGATGCTTTTTCAGCATAATATAAACAGTATAAAAATAAGTAAATAAATTAGAAACTAATGCAAGCTAGAATGATCTATGGAGTCTTCATAAAGAACATGGCATTTGTTTGTGACTTGAAAAAAGTATTGAGTAGGTGGACGAAGAAGATGTCCAGAAGGGAAATGTTCCTGTTTTATTGGTGGGTGACAACGTTAGTGAAGATCAATGGCTTGACTCAGGTGATTAGCACAAGATAGAGCTGCAGAGGTCACAGGTCACCAGCTGCCAGGCTGAAGTTGGGTCTTCATTTAGTAAGAAGTCAGTGGGAAAGGTTTGAGCCTACGAGCACCCTGACTTCAATACTTTGTAGTGGACATCTAATAGTGGGTGTGAGGCTTGTCTGGACATATAAGAAAAAAGAATGAAAAGTACCAGGTAGGAGTTCTCAGCAGCTACAAGGAGATTGGTGGAAAACGGTTGTTGAGATTGGGTGTGAGTTAATAATTGGCTAATGGATTAAATTCCAGGTCCGCATTGTACTGGAGGATGAAATCCAAACCCAGTATTTAGGGTTAGATTCTTTTTTTTTTTTTTTTTTATGATATTTTTTATTTATTTATTTATTTATTTTTTAAATTTATTTATTTATTAAGGATTTCTGCCTCGTCCCCACAACCGCTTCCCATTTCCCTCCCCCTCCCCCGATCAATTCCCCCTCCCTCATCTGCTCGAAGAGCAATCAGGGTTCCCTGACCTGTGGGAAGCCCAAGGACTGCCCACCTCTATCCAGGTCTCGTAAGGTGAGCATCCAAACTGCCTAGGCTCCCACAAAGCCAGTACGTGCAGTAGGATCAAAAACCCACTGCAATTGTTCTTGAATTCTCAGTATTCCTCATTGTCCGCTATGTTCAGCTAGTCCGGATTTATCCCATGTGTTTTCAGACCTAGGCCAGCTGGCCATGGTGAGATCCCAATAGAACATCCCCATTGTCTTAGTGTGTGGGTGCACCCCTCGTGGTCCTGAGTTCCTTGCTCATGCTCCGTCTCCTTCTGCTCCTGATTTGGACCTTGAGATTTCTGTCCGGTGCTCCCGTGTGGGTCTCTGTCTCTGTCTCCTTTCATCGCCTGATGAAGGTTAATATTCCTGAGGATGCCTATGTGTTTGTCTTTGGATTCACCTTCTTATTTAGCTTCTCTAGGAACATGAATTATAAGCTCAATGTCCTTTATTTATGGCTAGAAACCAAATATGAGTGAGTACATCCCATGTTCCTCTTTTTGGGTCTGGCTTACCTCACTCAGGATAGTGTTTTCTATTTCCATCCATTTGTATGCAAAATTCAAGAAGTCCTTGTTTTTTACTGCTGAGTAATACTCTAATATGTATATATTCCATACTTTCTTCATCCATTCTTCCGTTGAAGGGCATCTAGGTTGTTTCCAGGTTCTGGCTATTACAAACAATGCTGCCATGAACATAGTTGAGCATATACTTTTGTTGTATGATAGGGCCTCTCTTGGGTATATTCCCAAGAGTGGTATAAAAACAGAGAAGTCGACCAATGGAATCGAATAGAAGACCCTGACATTAACCCACAAACCTATGAACACCTGATCTTCGATAAAGGAGCTAAAAGTATACAATGGAAAAAAGAGAGCATCTTCAACAAATGGTGCTGGCAAAACTGGATGTCAATCTGTAGAAGAATGAAAATAGATCCATATCTATCACCATGCACAAAACTCAAATCCAAATGGATTAAAGACCTCAATATCAGTCCGAACACACTGAACCTGATAGAAGAGAAAGTGGGAAGTACTGTACAGCACATGGGCACAGGAGACCACTTCCTATGTATAACCCCAGCAGCACAGACACTAAGGGCATCATTGAATAAATGGGACTCCCTGAGGCTGAGAAGCTTCTGTAAAGCAAAGGACACTGTCACTAAGACAAAAAGACAACCCACTGACTGGGAGAAGATCTTCACCAACCCTGCTACTGACAAAGGTTTGATCTCCAAAATATATAAAGAACTCAAGAAACTAGACCGTAAAAGGCTAATCAACCCAATTATAAAGTGGGGCACTGATCTGAACAGAGAATTCTCAACAGAAGAACTCCAAATGGCCAAAAGACACTTAAGGTCATGCTCAACTTCCTTAGCGATCAGGGAAATGCAAATCAAGACAACTTTAAGATACCACCTTACACCTGTCAGAATGGCTAAAATAAAAAACACCAATGATAGCCTTTGCTGGAGAGGTTGTGGAGAAAGGGGTACACTCACCCATTGCTGGTGGGAATGCAAACTTGTGCAACCACTCTGGAAAGCAGTGTTTCGGTTTCTCAGGAAATTCGGGATCAACCTACCCCTGGATCCAGCAATACCACTCTTGGGAATATACCCAAGAGAGGCCCTATCATACAACAAAAGTATATGCTCAACTAGGGTTAGATTCTTGTGAGATCTTCTTCCATGGCCTGCAGATGGCCACTTTCTGCCTGTGTGCTCTTGATCGTGCCTATCTTTTAAAAATATGTAAGGACACTAGACTAGAGCCCAACCTTATTTCTGCCTCTGTCTCTGCTTCCTAAATGCATGCTAGGATTAAAGATGTGCCACCACAACCACCCCTTAAGTACCCCTTTAAAAGCTCTAAATGCAATCATGTTTTGATATAGTAAGCATTAGGGTTTTAGTATATAAGTTTGAATGTAAGGATGATACAGTTGAATCCATCATTCTTTGGATAGAAAAAGAAACACAAGACTATGGGGTTAGTCGGTTAAGAAACTGTATGTTGATTCTTCTTGAAGGAAATGTGTGGTTTGGGGATGAGAAAAATCATTCCTGAAGTACCCACACTGTGCCATCCTTCCATACATGCTCCTGGAAAAAGAAAGTGAGAGACCCCATAGGACACGCGAGTGTTATGACTTCCACAAGAAAATGTGGACCTGGAAGGTAAACTCAGTTATGAACAGAACCCCATAGCATCATTCTTTTACCATTCTGACATAGTATTTTTTTATAAAATCCAACTGGGCTCTGGCCTAACTGACGAACAAGTCTTTGCCCTTGCCACGATAGGTCAGGGTTTGTATCAGGCCCCTTGAGAGCTAACCTCCAAATGCTTGGAACCTCTCTCATGGTAGAAATTATTGGTGGCGGACTCCTCAGTTCATGTAGTATCAGGGTGATAGGACACAAAAGACCGAGTCATGAGACCTCAGTAAGCCTGTGCACGGAAGCATGGCTACACTCCCCTAGTTCCCAGAATTGTGGGTCAGTGGTTGATGTTACTGGCCAGGTAACTGGCCCCTGGGAGCAGTATCAGCTCTGTGTTTGGATCTCTCCTGACTGCCTCTGTATCCCTCCTTTGGCTAATTTTTTGTTACCATTTTCGAGCAATGAGTTATAGCTGACCTTGGCTTAAATCAGTTCTCTGAGACGTTTTCGTGAATTCTCTATCCCATACGTGAGCCTTCGCATCCTTGGTGTTTGGTCAGCAGTGAGGGTCGTCAGTGCA